AGAACATGTTTTCATCCTTAGGCCATGTTTTATAGTCTGTGGAGTGGATATCGTATAGATATCTGGTGCTTTATGCAGTTGGATCCATCTCAGTAGGCTTTTCCTGCTAAATGTCAGCATCAGGGAAATGGTATGGCACTTAGTTGCTCTTAGTGTTGGTTGGTGTTGGAGTTGTCCTGTATGCTTGGAAATCTTGCAATCTGGCAAGATTGATATCTCTCCGAGCAATGATATCTATCTGATTTCTATGTTTCCTTCAAGGCCATCAAGTGGAGCAAAAAAAAAAAACTCCTTGTACCTTCACATGTTTGCCATGAGTGGTACTTCTGGTTAACGAGAAATTCAAACAGCTGTTTATTTCCTCCCCTTACAATCTCTGAAAGAGGTAGAGAGATATTAGAAACAGTGTCCTCACACTTGCCACAACAAAATGTATTCTTTATCAAGAGCTTTGAAGGGGCCGCAGGCATGATGCATTTTTGATGGTTTATGTTCAACCTGACAAGGAAGCTGGAATGAAAGTTAAACTTTTAACATGGTTTCCAACTGGTCCAATTAAACAGCTCCAGAGTTTCAGTAGTTCAGAGACAACGGTTTCCATTACCAGTACCAGATTTAATAGATTATTTCACTTGTAGTAAGTGAAAAGACAGTCTAGGGGTCCAGATATTGAACCAACTTTTGTTCAAAGTTAAAAATAAGAGTATTCTGTTCTAATTTTTTTCCTAGAAAAACTTTGACTTGTGCACTGACAGAAAATGATTGTTAAACTTCTAAGATATCTCTGTTTCAGCCATTTTTGGGAATGTTATTAAATCACACACAATAATAAATCAGTTTGTTCTTCACACCAGCAACCTATTGTGCATCGTGATTACCCAATACATATTTATTCAGTGAAGTGGACTGCACAGATTCCAATTTTAAAGAAGGAAGGGGCTGCATTGAGTTCAAAGAGTATTGTATCTGAAAACACTGAATCGTAATTATGTGCATCGCTCCACATCAAGTTAGTTTTTCATTCACAGGCCACCGTGAACTGGAGGCCGCACATATTTTTAGACTGTGGGTTAGAGCTCTCAGATAGACTTATTTGCAGTTCAACTGGGGGTCTGCTGGCCTTACAGTGAGGCCCTAACCCATGACCCATTGTGTCGTAGTGATTGTCAACCAACCTGCTCTGAGGTATTCTCAGAGTTTGGGGCTGTGTGTGCTTTGAATGACACACAGCCCTTTAGCTGTTGGTCATTTTGCTGAAGGTGAAGGCACTGTCAAACAGACTGTTTGGTGATGTTGCAGGGGGTTCCAAATAGAGAAATTCAGTGAAAGGAAATTTCTTTTGCAGACACTTCCTGAGTGTAGAAGGGAGAAAGCAACAACTGTTTTCTGATGTACTCTGGGGAGTTGAATACACATCTGTGTGCACATTCATGAATCCAACACAAACACAAACAAGAAAAACAAACACTGTATTTTTCATTTCCACACAAGTGCATATTGTTTCTGTTTCTGTTGTGGAAATGATATAAATTAACCTTCTGTACATGGCGGAAATCTAAAATCTTGAGCAGTTGATTAAGAGTCTGATTGTACAGCAGTTAGGGTCAAAGATTGTACATTTTGTCATGGACATTAGTGTAAAATTATATTTTGCTGAATGAATGATAAGATTTACTATAACTTGTAACATCACAAACAAAAATGAATAAATATTCCTCTGACACATAGAGAAACGTATGATTTTTAATTGAAAGGTGTTAAAAAGGTTTAAACTGTCATTTATAGCTTGAAGTGGTTGTAGGTGCACTTGAATGCTTGCCAGGAAGCTATAAAATTAAACTGACTTTTGCCAAGGACAGTGGTCAAATAATCAACCAGAAATGTGTCATTGGCTAGCCTCCAAAAGCATCCAATCAGAATTTGACTTTAATATTTTCAGCACAACACATTCATCAGAATGTGTGTTGATTTTAGAAATCTAAAATGAATGAATACCTGTGCACCAATATTTAAAGCTAGCTATAACCAGGGTATCCAAATATCTTTCATAAATTGTGATGGGTGATTGTTCACCACATCTCCTTATGGGTTTGTTTTTAACTAAATATCACCTTCAGCCCACAGTAGCTGATTCAATCCATTAATCAATGTGTGGGATCCATAATGGTGAGGGAGGTTGGGCTTATTGTTCTTATTTGCTGTGATATTTATGCTGTTTAGAGTTAAAACACCAAGAGTTATTGCTGTGAGAAGAACATTGTTTTTGTGAGCCAGTCATAGGATAGGAGGATAATCTTTCTACAATATGTTCCATACATAGAGGGTGCTTCGTTTTACGATTTCTCTGTTGAGGGCTTGTAAGAAAATGGCAAAAGCTTTGTTTCTGTCATGATCGCAAGTTGCTACACACCACCAACAATGCTACACACAACAATGATGCTCTATGTACTCCTTCAGTTATAACAAATGCATCACTGAAAACCATGCCCAACTAATAAAGAATTTCAAACTACTGCTTACATTTTTATGTAAATAAATAAATAAATAAATAAATGTTTTTTATTGATATTATTCATGAAAGCTAATGAAAATAGCCCATCCATATCTAGCTTGATATAGCTTTAAGAATCCAAGCCTGTGGCTGGATCAACAGAGATTAGTGCCTCAAAGCACACTGCTTCATGGTGACTTGAAACACTTAATGTAATGCTGAAATGGAACTGACAAAATATATGCAATAGCCTATGGGTAGGATCTTCTCTTTTCCATATATATTTGGGATTATACTGATGCATAGCGTGAGAAGACGATGTTGCTTTTTCAGTAGAGAGGAATAGAAAATGTATGAATTGTAGGTCAATTTTGGGGTCATTATGTGCATACTATTCCGCCTCTCGTCCCACAACTCATCCCCTTTACATCTGCACTCCTGCTACTTCTTTTTGTGAATGCAAGAAAGGTATATAGATCTGTCAAATTAGGAAGCAGGCTCTTCTATTAACAGTCCTGATAATATTTTTTTTTACTCATGAGCTTCAGAGTTTGCCATAGAAAGTAGTCCTAATGCTGTGCATTATAGTGACTGCGTGACATTTTGAAGCTCTGAAGCCCACTGCAATCGTGTGATAAGACTCAAATCTGCCTTTGACCCCCACCCACAAATATCAATTTAATTAATTATCCATGCAATGTAAAACAGTCCGGGAAATCATACCAGATAAAGCATTATCTATAGCATTCACCATCAAAGAATTTGCAGCATTATTACCACTTGTCGAGTCAGATATGACATCAATTATGCAAAACAGAGGCACTTTGTAAAACACACCAGCCTCACAGCATCTCACGTAGTAGTGTAGTTCGATATTTAAAGGGGAAAATTAAATGTTCACCATCAATGCAGCATGTGTCACACTAACGTTCTTATTTACAGGTCCCTGGTTTCTGCTGTGGCTCCTGTTGCAGGCCATCGTTACCACGTGTTTATGGAGGAGCAGGATTTCCGATTTTGGCTTTCTGAAAAATGTAAACGTTTCAAACATTTTGCGTAATTCTCCACATTTAGTTGAAAAAAAGCTTTTACGTGCCATCAAAGCAAGTCCTATAGTTAATTACTGAGAAGCTCTTTTTGTTGTCTCCACTGGGAATCTTCTATTGCAAACCACAGAGCTGTTCTCCAAAAACCTTCTGATTTCATCAGATGAGCCTTTTTCTCATTACTGATGTCAATATAGAAAATCCCTGCTCATAATGCGCTATGATACCCAGGGATGTGATGCATATAAATGTGCAATTAATGCTTAGGTGGAAAAGTACAGAACAGATGGAGAGAGGAAGAGAAAAGTGATTTAGTCATGAACAAACAAGGATGAACGCAAAATAAAACCCAAAGCAGGGTAAACGAATGCCGAAATGATAAACTATCATAACACATATAAAACAGTAAATAAGATAAACAAGGAAAAAAAGTCAATTCAACGATGACAGTAGCTGGTATTAGAATTTTTAATTTTGAAAGACATAGCAAGTTCTAATAATTCTTGTACCTTGATCATTTTCTGTTTTTATTTTCATAATTACAACTGGAACCAGGAAGTATCTGACTTTTATACAAGGGAATGTTCTAATTATCAAAAATGTAGAGTAAAAGACTACTTCATAATTCATGATGGGTTTGAACCAGGAGAAGACCCACAGGCAGGAAACAGCTACAAATATGAGTTAAAAGACCAGTTTGTTTTGGTCTTTTAATTCATATCCCAAATCCTACTTCACAAAGATTTTAGAACTTTATGTCCTTTTTTGTCATGGTTTCCATGTGTCACCTGATCAAAAAGAGATTTGTCTGATGTGCATATTTCACAAGAGGAAGTCCACAACTCACCTGCTTCAGAGTCCTGAATAAAACTCACAACAAACATACAAAGGGCAAAACGTCTAACAAACTGCAACACAAACAACACACAGCCCAGAAAATTGGCCAAATCACAAATGACGAAGATAACTTGACTCATGTTCGAATGCATAGCTTGTACCCTTTTAGAGTGAACGATAAGTGGCTTACAATGAATACGATGTATTTGAGGACCTTGAAGTATGTTTCTGCAATGAATGGAAATCCGGCAATTTGGTGTACTGTAATGCAAATAAATATATCCTCATTAATCTCAACATAATAATCAACTGAGTCTTGCAGTCGCTCAGTCATGCACTGATGCATCAGAACATGAAGCTCAGAAAATACGTCATTTGAAATACAAGTTACTAAATTGAGAGAGCACGTCATAGAGAGGCTTGTTTATCCTTTCATTTAATTGATTTCATTTTCTGTCCTCCCGTCAATGGCCTGCAGCTGCGTGTGAGCTCTGTGGGGTGCACACCTGACAGTAAAAAGAACCCCCAAGGCTGGGGAATGGATCAGGCCAGCCCCAGTGTCTGGTGTTGTTTCGCGCTTCAGAGAGGATGAATCAGAGGTTCTGGAGCAACAGCTGCACTGACTGCGGAGGACACGCTCTCGGTGACAGGAGCGCTCACTGGCTCCTGATTCCAGGTAAGATTCCGTCAGATTCATCGAGGAATTTCTCAATTCACTTTATTTTTCTCTTTCGTTCAGTCATCCAAGTGTTCGTCAACCCTGGAACGAGCAGAAGCATAATGCAATTGTTAGAAAAACAGAAGTTCAGTTAATTATTCAGTTTCATGTCATGATCTTATTTATATTTTTTCCGCACCACAAAGATTTTTATAAGGTGTTTGTTTAGTTGATTCATTTGGTGCCAGCCTTCGCTTTGCGCACCTATCTGATAAGAAGTGAGTTAGGGGTGGTAATTACAGCCGCCTGCAGCAATTATCATAAATCTGTCGTAATGGTGTCCCAACCTCCTGTAAGTCCACACGGTGTCCTTGTGGCACCTATTTGGAAGAAAAGGGAGATTTAATCTGTGTCTTTCCTCGGCTTTCACAGTTGGAGTTCCACTTTGAGGGGGAGAGGAAAGACACCCTCTAAGCATCGCCCGCTGCTTGTCCTGCTTTCATTTCTGCAGACTGTCAGTGAGGACAGGCTGTTCGTTATGTTCCATCAGCTGACGGACCAAACCCTGAATGGCAGCTGTCAGGGAGCCATCTCAGAGTGCAATAAGAGCGCTGACGGAGACGCGCTCCAGCTGCCCACTTTCTCCACCGCGGCCAAAGTCAGAGTCATCATCACCTTCGCGCTGTGCGCAGTGTCAGCTGTTTGCAACTTGCTCGTGCTCTGGGCTGCCATTAAAGGCGGAAAGCGCAAGTCCCACGTCAGGATCCTCATAATGAACCTGACGGTGGCGGACCTGCTGGTCACTTTCATCGTGATGCCCGTGGACGCAGTGTGGAACATCACGGTGCAGTGGCAGGCAGGAGACGCTGCCTGCAGGCTGCTGATGTTCATGAAACTAGTGGCCATGTATTCCTGCGCCTTTGTGACTGTGGTCATCAGCCTGGACAGGCAGTCTGCCATCCTCAATCCTCTGGGCATCAGCGAGGCCAAACGGAAAAGCAAAATCATGTTGACTGTGGCCTGGACGATGAGCGTGATCCTTTCATTCCCTCAGGTGAGAGAAAACACTTTAACCTAAATTCTAACACTCTGAGGCTTCAAAACAAACACCTCCTCCCCTGGAGCTGCCTCTGCACTTTTTCAGGAGGAAAATAAAATCTTGTCCATTTAGCACTAATAAACTACTTTCCTTCATCTGATACGTTCAATAGGGGATGAACTAAGTTCAGCAGGGATGTCCAAACACATGACCTCTTTGTCCAAGGTGCTTGAATTAGTTTGAGCTGCTGAGCACAAATGCAACCTTCACCCAATCAGATTGCATTGGTTCCTTTGTCCCTGCAGGCTCCCAGAAAGCTTTTGAATATCAGGATGAAAGTAGCTAATCAAGTGACTAAACACTCAAGCAGCCAAACACACTCACCCATTATAATAAATACAGCATAGCTGGGTCCAGAGAACAGTTACCATCACGTGATGAGTCAGTCAAATTGGGAACACCTCGACCTTGAAGTGGATTTATGTCATTACCTCTGCAGAGAACCATCAGATAAAGACTTTCAATTTAGATTTTCAATTGGTATCATTCAAGATAGACACGAACTAAAACTACGCCTGTTACAACCCCAAATCATAATTTCCTTACAGCATTCATATGGTAGATCCAAAAAACAACAATCCTAAAACACGATTAGAAGAAGCTATAGTGGAAACTGAATTCTTTGAATTGATTCAATGATGCCCTGTCATTCAAAATTGGCTTTGATTGCTGGTACTCACATGTTTTGAGTGAGCCATAGGCTAAGGCTAAAATACGTTTTCCAATTGAATATATAATAATTTAAAAAAAAATTAAATCTCAGAAATAAAACCGTGCTTGAGTGAAAAAGAGAATCAAAAAGTGTAAAAAATTCCACAACATTTTCATAGGTAAGAATGGCTTTGAATGTGCAAACTGGCCAGTGTCAGACCAATAACGATGTTATTGTTATTGTAATAACAATAGTATGTGTGTTATTGTTATAGCAATAACGATGTTCAATTATGAGACTATAGTGACGACCATCTTTGGTGGATTCATTGTGTCGCACTACATCTGGTCACCATTTAAGAAATCATGAAATGGTTCTATTTCTACACTTTTTTGTAATGTTTGTGTTAAAGGTCTCCTCTTTCTCACAAAGACTTTATTCTGATTGTCATTAAATGCCAACGAAGTTTACGATAATGAAATGAATGGCACATGTTATCTTTCAGGTGCTACTAAACGTAACACTTTAGAAGTGGGAGTCAAATCTGTGTCATCAATTTGATTCAGAGAGGAAAGTATGTAAATTAAGGGTCAGCCGGCTATTTATTGACCAAGTAGATTTAGAAGATAGCTTGCTGACAACTTTGTTTCTGCTGTACTACATAAGGTTCACAGTAACTCCATGCTGAGGCACAGGCTTTATGTGTGGACCAGACAGACCCTCGATCAGAGAATCAATGGCTGACACCATTATTACTGCTTGCAAAGTTTAAATACCCCTAACTTTCCTGTATGCTAGAGAATGCTGGACGAGTAAAACAAGGAATTCAATTAAGGAATGCAGCTTGTCACAGTAATCAGGGTGACTGGATGGATGTTGGAGCCTCAAACATGTGCTTGTGGATCTTACCTGGGGAACTTGGAGCAGTTCTCCAACAGTTGTGTGTGTTTAGACCTGAGCAGGAAAACTGTCTTCTTCAAATCTACTGTATGACAGTTGTGTGTGTTGCCAAACCATCTCTGCCCACCAAACACGCAAAACAACAAACTATGGCTGGTTTAATGGGGTTAACGTTTAACGTTAACAATTTCAGTACATTTCTTGAATTTATCTCTGAATTTACCTTATCGTGATCTTCTTTCACGCCTTGTTCCAAGAAGTACTTAAAAAATGATCAATGACATTTTTTCAGACTCAACAATCATATGTTAGATAGAAATATACTGTAACAAATGCAACAGCTTCAGTACCATTACTGTTTGTCATTCTAAAAACACACACAAAGTGTACTTCAGCTTTAGTGTTCTGAGAAATGCTCAAGCATTTTTTATGCTAAGAAATAAGTTATACAGTGGAAGAATCATTAATGTTTTTTTTTGTCAAGGTACTGTAAGCCTTTTCAGCTCAACCAGAATGAACTGCATTGATCTCTCCACAGTCACCTACAAAGGAGTCTTCAAATGATGGATCCAGCAGAAACAAAGTCATGCACTTGCATGTATTGGACGCTGAAACTTAAATCCTTTCTGAGAAAACATTTTCCAGAGGTTCAGCAAGTATAATATTTGGTTGTGGAATAAAACACCAACCCTGCACAATGATAGTGCTCATCAAGTGCTCTAGGACGTGTGTTTGTAACAACAATGTATAGTGTGAAATTTAAAAGTTACGCTGATTATTTTGAAAAAAAGTGTTTCGCTGCTTGGAAAAAACAGCTTGGTGAATTTCACAAGGACATGTCTTGGAGTTAATTCTACCATGAAACAACATCAAATCGAACTCTTGTGGAGGAAGAAAAATTCTGCTTGCTGTACTTTTGGTTCCGAGAGGCTGCATTTTGCTTGCTCTGCATTTTTCACATCTAAACATCTTGATCATTCTGATTCAAATGACTGGTGACTAAAGATAGTCATACACAACAGTCAGATGTTTGGACACACGTACATGCATACATATATTTGTTTCATTGCTCCTCTGGGCAGAGATCTGGAGTGTTGTTGGAGCCACTAGCCTTGGGGGTACCCTGCCGTTTATGTGTTGGATTGTTTGTTTGTCTGAGTGGCATCTTTCCACAGCCTGCAGCTGCGGTTCTGCCCATTATGGTAGATCCCAGCCTTGTTTCTGTGCTGCCACGTGCCCCTGTGCTGTCTTTCAGTCTAGCTTTCTCCAGCCACTGGTGTATAAATATATATAATTTGTTTATATAAAATGATATAAATCAATTAGCCTATACATAATAACTGCTTACTATTTTAATGATATAGCATAATAATTAATGAGAAACCTTGAATTTGATGGAGATGTTAAACCAATGCAAGGCAGCTTCAAAAGCTAATCAAATTAGAATTCTGATCAGGGGCAGAGAGTCTGTAGGTCTTTAGCCAGAAAAGATTTCAGGGGGATTGTATTTATCAAGAGAGCTTTTCAAGTACCTAATCAAGTGTGAAATCATCTTACTATTTTCTTAGCTTAAAGTGGTGGGATATTGCACACCAAAGTGACAGACATTTTCAAATGTAAGAAATACATTTGTCATCCTGTCTCAATGAGTCTGTGACTATTTGAGAATATAGCCAAAGTACCATTCACAGATTCTATATTTCTTATGGGCATTTGTGGATTTTAATGACAAGAAAGTTTTACATTTACTAACTCAGTTGCTCTGGGTCGTTTTCTCTTCAGACGTGAGGTTTTTCTCCCAAATGAAAATAACCTTATTAAAAAAACAAACAGACAGAACAGGAGATTATTGTTCACTGTGTTACCATAATGGCTTACAGCTGTTACCACTGACAACAATATCCTCAAATCTAACCCGCAGTCCTTCTGTATTCCTCCGCTCTTGCTCTGAGCGTGAGGAACTTCTGTTACAGAGCTGTTTCTTTGTAACAAAAGAGCAAGAAAGGGCAAGCTGACAGCCTTTTTCTTTTGATTGAGAAATAAGATAAAATGTGTCAAGAATTGTGACCCCTGCCGCTACACAATCTTTTAATTTTTTCTTTTCCTTATTTTCAGGGTCAATTTGAACACTTGTAAAACGTTGTAGATAGGGACATTACACATTCAGCGTTTAACCACATGCTGCATCTCACAGCATGAGGTCAGATGGAGATTCCAAACTGTTCATGTACAGACTTTACAACTAGTAAGAGGCTCTTGTTCTCTTTTGCCGTATAACAGTTATCACACCAAAAGGATGTCACTCTTCCTGTTTGTGTTATGATTACAGCTGTTCTCTTCCATCCTGTAGTAATCAGTCGGGCTGTCCGTGCTTATCAGCGCACATGTTTATGCAGATCAGTACAGGGGAGGCAAAGACTACTGATCCCCATAAAGGGTGACCAGGTCATTGATTAGGTTTCATCTAGCGTAAAAAAGGTGCCACTAAAACACACCTTCACATACAGTTGGTCTCTTAAGGCTGCATGCAACTTCTTGAATTCAAAGACTTTGTCAACACATAATGCTTTTCATTTGCAAGTAAAAACCATTCAATTGATTTATAAATTGAAATGGGGCTTATTTACCTCTAAACTCAACACAATATACCAGTTGGTGTAGTTTTAAAATCAAACGAGTTCCTGTTTTTGCATGATTTAAGTTCCAGCTGTTTTAACAGTGTGGGAGATCCTTTTTGGTTTCACATACTGAATCAAACTTTAAACTGAGATCTCAGTTTAGCACCTACAATTTACTGCCTAGTACTTATAATTTTTTTGGGACCTTACTTTAAGAGTAAGGTTCCACCCTTTGCCCAAGCTAGTAACTTAATAGTGAGTCTTAACACCTCCATATTCTGGAATGAAGATTGTAACATAATATTTTCAGCATTTTTTGTATTTTAACACAGGGATGACAATGTAAATCTCTGTGATAGTGAATAAAGAAAGATGATATTTCTCAATGTTGAAATAAGTCCTGAGGAAATGAGACTCACAAAAAATAGATTTCATAATGTGACTCATATCAATGTGCTCAGACCCACTGACATATGACTCTGGGAAGAAGTAGGATTTAATTCATACTTCAAAGTCCACGAATATTGCCAGGGTCATCTTTTAATTTTCAGATGCATAAAATGGTACTTTCATCAGAAGCATGGTGAATTTTTCAATCTCTCCCCTGTTCACTCCCATTTAAGGCAAGCGAGGTCTGACTCTTCGACTCGACAAGGTCAAAGAGAACAATGTTTTTTCTCTAAATGTATTGTCTGTAGGAATGTCAGCATGTTGTTGCTATTGACTTCACAATCCACTCTTGAGGGTTTTTCTTCTATCTTTTCTTACAACAGAAAATAATAAAAGCCTTCTTAGATAAAATGAAATATTGAAAGGCTCTCCCAGACACTTTACCTGTGGATTGTTAAATAATGAGAGATTGTGTGTGAGTGAGCATATATGAATTAGGCTTTCTTGAAATCAGCAGCTTTCCCTTTCTCCGTGATGTCTGCTCCTTTTCTGAAGGATTTCACAATATGTTTTTCATTAAAAATGTATATGAAGTGAATTGTGGAACATGTTTTAATGCAAAATGCGAAAGAAAATATGAAATACAGATCCTGTCGAGTGAGTTCGTAGTCCTAATGGCTTTCCAGAAAATGTGACTTGGCTCCTTTTTGGGGAAGTACATGGTGTCAGTTGTGTTTTTTAAACATTATTTTACTTATTGCACATTAATTATTAGATAATAAATTATTTATTGTAATCATGAAATGTGTCACCTAAACAAATTTTAAGAAAAAACAAGCTTATCCCACATTCTCCCTAATCTTTCCTTTTTTTTTTACTGACCCAGTTGGTGTTCATCTCAGAGATGCACAGCAACACATTTTAATTGCTCGGCTCAAACTTTTAAAAATAATGGGCAATAGTGTTGTTGCTGTCATGTTTCATCTGAAAGAGCCATGACACACTATTCATTCTGACAGGTACTGCTACACGCAACAGAAGAAGAGCTCGCCCCCAACTGTGCACTCATAATTTGAAATTAAGAATGGAATGATGGAGTCTTTGCCCTCTCAGTAATCACTATCTATAGTTACACAGAGAAAGATTTAAATAGACTTCTACATTAAGTTCTCCTTTTTCATTGAGAAGTGTAATTTGAGTATTTTGAATTCACCTGTTAAAATGATGGATGGAGTTTGTTGGAATTGATCATACAGCCAAGTTCACAAAGAAAAGATTCAAATGCTCAGGTGAAGGTACTAATTTTGAAGGCTGTGTTCTCTAACGGACTATGTTATGAGAATACAATTTCATTTTTTTTAAATAATGAGAGTGGACAAACAACACTCATATCAACAATTTTCAGAAAACAGAAAGCACAGCAATCATCACCCTTAATTTTCTCTAACAAAAATGATATGCTAAAAAAAAAAGTTTTTCTTTGACAAATGATATGTCCACTGAAGTAAATCTTCTAAAACTGTTTACCCTCCGAGGTCTGAAAGCTACAGTGTTTTCTAGAAATTGTCTAATAATTACCCCCTCCTCCCAGAGGATATGCTTGTGAGTTACAGCATTGTGAAGTCCCACATTAAGCTCTACCCTATAAGCTGTGTTAGTGCACAGTTTCTGACAACCCCAGCTTTTTAGATATAATTAAACTAGCTTATCATGGCTACTTATGAAAGGACCAGGGACATTATCCTCACACTGCAGAGCATCAAGAGGCGCTAGCTGTCCAGAGAATAGATCAAACAAATCTGTGATCTTATCTTCTGCCAGTTATATCTGTCAGTTTCAAATCCGGAATAAGACATGCCGAGGACACTGAATAATGTTGATGTGCTGAGAAAACAAGTTTTGCTCACTCTTGTAGGCCCAACTTTATCACCCTCAGTGAAAATTCAGTTGTGTGCCAGGGTGTTGGGCTCCCACATTGTCCAGGATTGCTGCAAAGTCTTTGTCAGTGCCAAAATAAATGTCTTAATCGAGGGGTTGTCAGGAAGTTTCTTTAGCCAACACTGAAAAGAAATTAGGGTATAATCCTATTGCTGATGGACTTAATCTCCCATAAAGTTAAGCGGTGGTTTGAAAAAGAAGTGGAAAGAAATGCTTTCCCAAATTATTCCTGCCTTTGTTGAAATATACCCCTTTGTATAACAATTCCTTTTTTCCTCCATGCAGATATTCATATTTCACAACGTCACCATAACAGTCCCGGAGAACTTCACTCAGTGCACCACCCACGGCAGTTTTGTCCGACGCTGGCAGGAGACCGTCTACAACATGTTCACTTTTGTGTGCCTCTTCCTCCTGCCTTTGGTCATCATGATTTTCTGCTACACGCGAATCCTTATTGAGATATCCAGCCGAATGGCTCGGAGTAACAGTAAGTAACAGTGTTTTTTATTCAAATTCCCTGATAACAAAAGTCTATCTTTGTAAACTCAGGAAAGGATTTTATGATGACAGGAAGACGTGACAAAGACAGCGTTTTCCTTTTCTTCTAGTGCGGTCTAGAGATATTCATCTTCGGCGCTCACACAACAATATCCCCAAAGCTCGAATGAGGACGCTTAAGATGAGTATCGTCATTGTGACTTCATTCATCATCTGTTGGACCCCATACTATCTGCTTGGTCTGTGGTACTGGTTGTTTCCTGAAAAGATGGAGGAGACAGTCTCCCATTCGCTTACTCATATGTTGTTCATATTTGGCCTCTTCAATGCGTGTCTAGACCCCATCACATATGGTCTGTTTACGATTCACCTTCACCAGGGAATGAGGAGATGTCGACGCTCAAACACACCGACTGAGAACAACACTTGTCTTATGCAAATGTCCTGTTTTTCCTCTGCCAGGCAGATTGGGTCAGGTGGCCTCGGTAAACACACGGAGGAGATAAATGACAACAGCAGCACGAAAAATGCCTCAAGCATCATTATTTCCGTGAGCAAGTTATAATGGCTTGAATAATTTTTAAGAAGAAAATCGCCCCTCATTGGGATAAATATTCATAATGATTTATTTCAGGAAAGCTGAAACTGAGCAAAAAAAACTGTGAAATCTAATAAATATCAAGACAAAGTCATGTTGGTTGGATAAAAGATGAGCCAGGGTTTGTTCATGATGAGCCGTTTTTCTGTTTTCCGATGACCAGATTCAGACAAAACAGTGCAGAGTCTAACACGGCATAAATTTGTACAAAACTGACATATCAAACCAAGAAACTGTTTCAAACTCTGGGGTCCTCTGCAGATTATGTGGGTGCACTTAAATTAAAAGCTGAGCCAATGATAAACTACCTTAAAGTTAAATGAACTGCAGTTGCGTCCAACCTATAATAGAGTTATCACTATAATAGTGAGTAGACAAGGATATTTATTGATTATTTCTCAAATAGATGTACAACATAGATGTATGAGTATGTTAGTTTAAAAAAATATGTCCTTATGTGTATAAAAGCGTTCAAGTAGTAATTGTGCAGAAAATACTTGACCCAACCTGTACACCTGAGCGCTGTTACATCACACCTTCACATCTTAACAGAAAAGATGCTATCTTATATCGTAGATATAATGTTCAATACCATTGTGGAGAGAGTTTCTTCTAACGGGCAGATTTAAAAAAACAACAACATATTTTTTCAGTTTGATTTCAAGGTTTCATTTTGTTGTTAATCATCAAATGAAAACCGTGCACTGATTGTGAGTACACAGATATGACTCATTTTGCTGATTACACAGTACTCTATACACAAATCTCATTCATGCTCCTTGTGCAGTTACAATTGTCATCCAGTATATTCAAGAACTTGTAATGGCAGAAAAGTACAAGGAGATTGTTGCCACCATATTGTTTCTCTAATGTGTTGTTGTTGACAGTATGCCAAAAATATTATGTCATGATATAAAAGTATTCGTCTATCTGTGGCATTGTGCCAAAGGATGACACTTTTGATGGTTATCTCTTATGATAAGCAGAGCTTTGCAAGGCAATCACAGCACGGTTTGACTTTTTCCTCACATAAGTGAGTTGTGGGGACACACAACGCCTTTCTGATGGAAGGCCCACTCTGTTACGGTGTGATGGTGGAAACATTTTCTGTTATACTTTGATTTTTTACAGCAGGAGGTGGCCCAGTCCCATGTTTCTATTTTCCTGTGAATACGAACCTCAGCTATATCTGAAGCCATCAGGAATTTTCCTCATTTCTTCTGAAAGTTTTTCTTCTCAGAAGACATGACTGTTACATAAAAAAACAAGACAAGCAAGTTAGAATTGATTAGTTCAACCATCTACGTACAAGTTTTTTAAAACAGTGTTGTCAATTTGATGTTTTGCCTTTGTTGTCTATGCTTTATTGGTATATAATGTTTTCCTCTTGCAAGAGGCAGGTGATGATATCAAACATGCTAGCCAGACAGCCCATGAGATACATTTCTAAACTGCTTTTTTATCTCTATTTCTGGTTGTTGTCTTTTATGTTTTGTGTTTGTTTTGGCACAGGGTGATAGTTGTGTGGTAACTGGTTTTGCTTAACTTTTCCAAAGTGGCTGATATGCTTCTTTGGTAAAGGATATTAGTTGTTAGCATACGTGTTCGTCTATTCGTTTGTCAGTTTGGACTGGAGTTATTTCAAGAGTGAAATCTCCCTCTTGCCAGCAAGCATACGATAGGATAAGATAGGATAAGATAGGATAAGATAGATGCACTTTATTGATCCCAAAAAGAGAAAAAAGATTGAATTGTTGAATTACTGGCTTTCAGTCCAACAGTCCTCTTGGGCCACTGTCCTGAATATTTTAGATGTTCTAAAGACCTGATCCAAATGAAATGGATCTCTCAACAGCTTGTTTTCAATCTCTGTAAAATCCAATAAAGTGACCCTGGAGTGTTATTCCAGAAACATTTAACACATTCTGGACAGTGACAAAGACTGGGAACAGGTAACTGGCAACACAGGTGTAAAGACTTCAAATCTCTTTCAGATTTATTAGTGTACAATAAAAAGACTGCATTTTTTATTGATAATTATTGACCAAAATATCCTGAAATGTTTTGTCATACAGTTCTATATATTGAACACACTGTAGCATTGTTGTTCATGCGCAAGCCCGGTCTGATGGCAAATTATGAAAAAGACAAGGAAGGGAAATCCTTTTTCTTGTGCAGATAAACAAAATTCTGACAGTTGTGGTTCTCATGTCTTTATTGCTAAATTATTCTTTTGAATGGTTCCTCCCCTTCCAAATCAGTCTCCTTCGACAGTATTCCACTGAGTTGATTCTATGAAACTGGATAAGATCATGTAGAGTCAGCCTCTCCCGGTGCTGCATTTAGGTTTTCTTAAATAGATACTAAACCTACAGAAGTGTGGAAAACTTTGACCACACATTTTAACCTAGAGTTGTAAGATTTGTTCAACCTTTTAACAGATTTTTTGCACCGTGTCTTCATGAATTGCCATGACACCTGGAATGTGTTGTTGGTCTAAGGTCAATTCTGTGCTCAGTGTGTTGTGCAAAATGTCAATGAAGACAAGGCTCTGTGAAATAATTTTGCATGCCATTTTTATTGTGTATACTAATATTAATGTTGTGAGGTGTCTTTGTTGTATATCTTGTCCCTTTTTATGGGAAATTTGGAAATAAACACAAGTTCAATTTCTACAATGGGAAAATAAGAACTAACTGTGAAATCAGCTTTGACATTTCAGTATCTTGTCCTGCTCATCAGAGTCAACAAAATATCTTGTTTGCTAGTTGCCTTTCGTCTGCTAGTTTTGCAAAAAAAATTAAGCTGTGATATGTATTGAGAATGTCTTTATTTGTCTAATAAAAAAGTTTAAAAAAGAATGACATGTTTAATACGTTAGCCAGATGTCCCATACACATTGTAAAAGCTGCAACAACCGCAGAGCTTTGTCCACACTGACAGAATATAGAAATAGACGAATAAATACATTTTGACATTCAAAATGATAAGCAGAAAATTGTTTCAGTCCCCTGTAAAAAATGACAGAGTGTCAGGTATAAGTTTAAGTATTCTCAAAGAAATGATGAGTGAGTTGCTGCACAGACATCACAGAGAGATGAGGTCATGAATGCCAGCTGATCATCTGCAACTGCATCTGATCGCAATGTGACACTTTCAAACAAAATCATAGTCGGACACCCCTCCCCTGTCATTGGAACATTGCTTCAGAAAATTCATTCTATCTTGACTGGTCATGCTGAAAGAGGTAAAAATTGAAAATGATTATTTTTTTCATCCTAGTTTCATAGTAAAGGCTGTCTTGGTGGTCTAGCATTAAAGCAAAATGTTTCAGATCCGTGTGACCAGGTGTGGCAGAAAAATTGATGACAGCTAGTTAGAATTTGATTCTAGATAGCTTTATTATATCTAAAATCAGGAATAACACTTGTTCTGCTTGACTTGGGACAGGGCAAGTGTATTTTCTTATGCCACCTCCAGGGAAGGAAAGCCCATTCTGCTCTATCAGATGTGAGACTGTTTTCATATGTCCTTCCAAAGGAACACATATATACAACACCAATCAGCGACCTCCCCTTACCTTAAAATGGAGTCCATGCACATGAAAAAAAAAAAAAATAGCATATATAGTATGGGGATCAACATTCACATTTATTGTATTTTATTTCCTCTCATGAGGTCCTGTCTCTGCAATGAACATAGTTTTTCTTCACGGAAGAAGAGTAAACATTTAGCCCACAAGCTATTTCACAACCTGCTTTACAGAGAAATGCATGCAAGACATGCATTGTATTTGTGTATGTCGGCATCAATTTTAAATGTATTGTTTTGCATTCTGGAAAAAACCTTATGAATTATGAATCTTAGTGAATTATTTATTTTCCCAATAGAATGATTTGATTGAGAGGTGGTTTATCTATTTTGATCTCCAAATGCTTGACTGACTCTCAAATTGTTATGTTGTTAGCCTATTGCAGGAATAGAGCCTTATAAGAACAAACAAATAAATATAATTGTTAAAGTGCTAGTATAAAAAAACCATGGAAATGACAGAGGTTGTGCCCTTATTTTTACATAACTTTTTGTACAAAGGTTTAAAATGTACAAAAACCTTCAGTTGGATCAGCTGTCTGTGAATTGTCTGACTTAAGTGCCACACAGTCAAGAGGGTACATTAAATTGTAAATATGACTCACTGGATGTCTTGAACATGGTCCCGACAACAAAAGTAAAACATTACACGGGCATGGTGAAAACTGAACACAATAAAAAATAAGGCTTTCCACATTCTCCTACCTTACTACTAATATGAAAGGAAACCTGAGCCAGTGAGTATCATCAAAGCTAATAGTAAAAATGTTAGGTAAGGAGTGCACACAGCCAATCAGCAGTCTGCTGTAACTTTTAAGTACAATTTCCTCCTTTATGTTGCAAGCATTGATTTCTCTTCAATCAAAGTGATGAAATAATGCATTTTTTAAGATGTCCGTTCTTAATTCATGGTAAAATCTTCACAGTCATTAAAGTTCTGAAGAAATGATTTACCATTCTGCAAGTTGGCATAAGTCAGACATATTTCTTGTCCACTAATTATTTCATAACAGATAAATATGATATGAAAATGAGAGTCTGTAAAGCTTGTAAAGGTGATTTACACGCATTGTCTCAGTCTTTTTGCACCTGTTCATTATTGATTTTTGTTGTATAAAGATTGCCTCTGCAGGTTTTTTCTATGTCAGGATAAGTAGGTCTGGGAAATCATTCAAGTGGCATAAAAACTCCCCGTTCTTTGTTATTTCATTTAGATTTTTAAGTGTTCCTAAAAGAAAAAGAAGGACATGATGAAAGCTTCAACTTTTTTTTTATAAAGCACAGCAGTAGAGCTGGCACAAAGTGCCTCCTTAATCATGTTTTTTTTGTTTGTTAAAAACGATTTTTTAAAAAGTTTTATAAGGATAGACCCATTAAAAA